TTGCTTCTATTCGAATTTAAATTATTGGAAATTTCGAAGTATTCGAAATGAACAAATAGATGTATAGTAGTTCGCATGTAACTTCTGTAAAAGTGGTTTCAATGCTGTAGAGTGGCGCTAAGCCTTGATAACATCCATCCTAATGTATATTAAAGTGCTTGTGAGTAAAAGTGGTCTCACTATAGTGGAAGAGGTGCGATGCCGTGAAAACATCAATTCAGGGGAAATCTACGCTGCTGCACAATTACACTTCAACATTGAATGGACACTTTTCCATACCATCCATTTTTCCAATTTTAATATTTAAAGCTTGTTATAGTGGCTTATATGCTCTAAGTGTAGAAAATCTTTAAGCTTAACATATTTTACAGGTTGTCACTTGCATGCTATCGAAAGTCAAATCCTACTACTATTCAAAATCGCTTTAACTTCCTTTGAACCAAAAATAATGACATTTGCTCATGCCTTGTTTTGATTTGAAAAAGATAATGTGCACATTAGTTAAGTGTTTGCAAATATGCTTATTTCCTTTATATTAAGTGATATATACTATTCGATTCGAAATCATTCAAACCAAATCATTATTCACTTCGAGTTTGCTTCGAACCTAGAGTCACAATTTCGCTGATGACTCCATATTAGATGTGCAAAAGTAGTAGTTTATATCCATCTTTCAATGCACTACCGTGAATTCTTTGTTATGATCAAGGCTTCAATGTTGCAGCCTTAAAAAGACAAGTTCGCTTGTCGAAACATCGGCTCCAGCACCCACCCTCTATTTATGGATTTTGCATCACAAGCTTTCATCTGCCCCTCCGTACCTTTCTTTTAGAATTATCCTGAGACAATGCTGTGTCATTGGGCTATCACTTAGATTGTGTCACTGTAGTCACATTTGCCTTTACCTTTTGATTACTAGGGGGCTGTCATCAATAATGTGGACACTTTCGGCATTGCCAAGCAATCAATGTAATCTGTGCAATCTGTGAGACAAATGTTTCAGATGCAGGACGGTGTAGCGTTTGTGCAGATAGCAGAAGCAACTGCAGCAGGGGACAGGGGCACTTCAATGACACATCTTGTTCCAGTGTAGGCACACACAGATTTGCCTAAAGTTTATATTTTCAAGACTAGGGCACTTTAACAATTTGACCTAAAATTCAGTTATCAGTGCAGAGTGACCACTTTGAGATGCAAGATTCTTAATGTTCGCCTTTTATGCGTGCCGTTTGTTGCAACAACTGATGGCTCCTGAGGGGATGCCCAAGAGAGCACAAATGTTTCACACAAGAGGATTTCTCATTAATTTGGAAGAAAAAAAATTTGCTGAGGTCTCGACTGGAGTTATTTCTCAAAAAATTTATTCAGATTACTCTTAGCGTGATGGTCAGCCCAGGTGACCAATTTTTTTATTTCCCCCATCGGAGCATATGATCCACGCATTTGTAACGTGTGCTTTTTCAAGCTCGTCTTACAAAACACTGGCAGCATTGGTGCCTTTGGGCTTCATTTTCGGCTGACTTTTTTTTTCTCTGTCTAAGATAGCATTTGTGATAACTACACATGGTGCTCAAAATTCGTATTATAGACTGAAACTAGTTTTGCACTTACTGCCTTGACAGCATAGGATAACACTACAACAAACAAGAGCAGCATGCTACATACAAAACACTGCATCACATTATGATGTAACTGTTGATGCTGATGCATAGTCGTCACTTCAGGAGACTGCATTACATTGGTTACCGAAAAGTGAAAAAAAGTAAGAAATTTATTGGGAAAGCAGCGCTCTTGCTCCAAGTGAAAGAGCTCTTGCTCTTTCAGTATAAATTTCAACAATCCCTTACTCAGACTTCTGCACATGAAAGTAGTGTGCCAGTGCATAGTTTGGCGAACTCACTCGTGTGTTAACTCACTTGCACTCACTTAGAGTGAGATTGAGCTGGGAGTCTGAGTCGGAGTGATTCCGGGGGAGTAATATTTTGGTGGGTATAAGTCTGAACGAGTTCAGTTGAAGAAAATTCTTTCAAGTGTGAGTTGGAGTGAGTGCTGCTCTGAAAATTTTGAGGAGTCAAAGTCCGGTTGAGTCCCAAGTGCAATAATATATTTTTTGAGTGAGTCTCAGTGAGCTTCACTTTTTTTTTTTTTGCAACCTATGGCAAAGATTATTGACTGCGAGGGCCTTCTTTGGGGAGGTTGGCACTGCAATATTTTCTACGTCACAGATAGGATGCTCCTGCTCGCCTTGTTGCGTAGCTGTTGCGGAACACAATGTTCGGGTGTAATTGCGGTGCCTGGCATCCAGTTCTAAGCGTCTGAAGCTAAATTTGGCCAGCTGGAAGTATAGCTGTATAAGCAGAGCTGGATTGCGGGCATACGGCTTCTATTAAAAATAATGTATCTGTGGTTTTATATCCCAAAACTACAATATTATTGAAGGATGTCGTAGTAAAGGACTCCTGAAGTTTCAACCATTTGGTGCTCCCTAATGTGGCTCGGTATCACGGTACACAGGCCTTCAGCATTTCGCCTCGATCTAATGTGGCTGCCGTGCCCAGGATCGAATTCGCGACTTTCGAGTAAGCAGCCGAGTACCATAGCTCCTACTCCACTGCGGCGGACTTCTAGCTGCTTGAGCTTGTTGTTGTACTGTACGATGCCTCAATGCTAGATATGTGCAACAAATCTCACAGTAAGTTTTCATCATTACCCCAAATGGAAAGAAATGCAGGGCACTTGGCTGGGAAAGCCAAAAATGGTAAAATATGCCAATGCTTACTCGTAAGTCTGCAACAAGTTTTTTCACAACGAGGATTTTGTGTACTCCGCAGCTGAAATGATCAGTAATAGCTGATCTGTGCTCATGAGCACTCCCAGCAGCTTATCGTGCGCATTTGTTGATGAACTTGTTGAACGAGAGGCTCACCATAAATTAACAAAATAAGTAAAAATAGAAGCACCTCTGTCTCAAACGTCTCTCGTGGTGATGTCTCCATGAAATAAACATTTTGTTATTTTTACTATCGCACTGAAGGCGCTGAAAACTATCGTCTCTATGTTGCCTACAAGTGTAAGCAAAGGTGAGAAGTAAACGTATCTGAATTAGAAAGTAAGAATGAAAATGTGATGATCGTCAGTCATATTGGAGCACACACAAAACACAAGCAGTGAAGGGGTAATCGGCCCTTTGTTCAGCACTTCTAAGCACGGGTGCCAATTTACTCTGCTTCCCATATGTTCATTGACAGTTGTGAATGAGCACCGCACGTGCGGGGGTTTAACTTTTTTTTCAGTTAAGTAGCTCAGTAACTTTTTTCTCAGTTAGCAAAATAGTAAAAAAAATATTGAATATAAATAATGGATTTCTTTCAACAACAAAAAAAGCTCTGCAAATCGAGTGAAAAAAAAAATCCCAGTAAGTTGAGCACAATTTTCTTCTTTGTTAACCCTTGCTATCTAGTCCTTAATGAGGAACCAACTTTAAGTCTTTTTTTTTGCCATGGAAAATGACTGAGCTCTATATTTTTTTTTACTACTACAAAAATGACACTTATTTATGGCCTGTAAGGAGCAGTGCTCAAAGTTTGGTTGCTCTCTGCAATCTTCAGTACTGCCACGGTGATCATGTACCACGATAGAGTATTTCTTCATCATGAGGAATGCATTTTTAGAATTACTTTTTCTTGTAGAAATTTATTGTAAATTTGAGAACCTAAAGGAAAAAAGTATTGAAGTGCATAAGAGGAGTAGTTAACTGGGCAAGTTGTTTAAAATTGTACTGCTCTCAACCATGAATATCCATGATGGAGTTGTCAAAGCGACACAAAGGCTTCTTATTCAGCAAATGAAATTGCCCACTTTGTGTTGGACAGCCGTGGCACTGCTTTGATTTAGGTTTAGCAGCCAGGAACGCTGGACAGAAAAATAGCAGCAGGTCCATGTAAAAGTCTAGTGCTTATAAGATCCGAATGACTGAATGGGGTTACTGAAGTGGATAGCAATGATCAACTATATGGACTACATTCAAAGATAGCTGAAAAATTAATTTTTATAAAGGAAAGAGAGGATGTTTTCACAGCATAATTAGGAAATAAAAATGACACATTGGCAAGAAGGCAGTGACATCTCTGTGGACAAATTAAGTAAACCTTTTTTAAGAAAGATGGCACGACAATATTGAGAGATATTTCAACATCAGGGAGCTAAAGAAAAGTTGGAAAGAAAGTTACTTACGAGGCAAAGTGCGAGTAGCTTGTATAAACTGCATCCTAATAGTAGAACACTTTCTTAAAAGCAAAAAGTAATAAATTGAAGTTACAAAAATTGAAACTTGGGGTGCCTGTGCTATTAACACATATTGGTGATATCTGTGCTGTCAACAGCACCTCTAAAATCGTTGCATAAATGGAGGATTAGGTAAGGAATAGGACCCTCTCAAAATGCAGCACCCAGCAACATTCGGGGGTACTGTCTGTTTAGAGGGCAAATATTGCCTATGAAAGAATCATTAGGACATATTTTAGTAACAGCTATTTGTGTAGTTGAACTGTGATAAAGCAACACAACTGTTAATATAACTGGATGTAATATATGATGAATACAGCAAATTATTGGCTAAATCAAGATAGACACGAGGTTTTTTGCTGGTGACACAAGTATGTGAATTCTGAATATCGCAAGAGCATCTATGAGTTAAGCATGACTTTCATCATAAAAAGCTTCAGTTGTACCAGAAATGCGTATCACAAGCTCATATTTAAGGGAGCATGTTGTGGAGCACAATGATCCACGCATAAAATTTTACCACAGTACGTTGCTTTGACTCATATGCATCTGCTGTCGTAAACCCTGTACAGTTCTTCAGGCTCAATGCCTCTTTTCCAGAGATAGGTTAGCAGACTAAAGTCATGACTGTCTAAGAAACATTCTGTTTGCTTAGTGGGCACAACAAACATTGTTTGGGAGTTGTGCACAGTGGGCTGTGGTGGTTCTAATTGTAGGACCCAAACACGTGGACGTCGTCACTACAAGCCCTGGCCCTTTCACCAAGAAGTGAAACAGCTGATGGGAGCAGGGTGAGTGAGGCATACTTTATGGTTTGTTATGTTCACGAAATATTAGCTTGTTACCATTTATTATCGAAAATAATTGGCCATAGTAAAGATGCATCAGAAAGGAAGATTCTTACTATTCGTATGTCACAAATGAGGTTTATAATGCCTTGATTCTCACGTGAAGGCATTAGTATCATTTAAAATGTTTATCATTACTTAGAAGGAATATAATAAGAAGTTTAGCATTGTAATGACAAGCCAAACTAAAGCGTGCCGAGTGTATTCGAGCAGTTTCATAGCATTCGGTGTTTCTGTTTATAACTTATATCACTCAAAATAACTCAATTCCACAACTGATTAACTTGCCTTACCTCGAGTTCAGTGTTATTTTACAGCCTATTTATTATTTGCTATTATTAGGTTTTAAAGAAGCTCTTGCTTCACATGAACCACAAGGGAAACTTGTCTCTGACAAATGTCAAAAAGACTCATTTTTTGTGGGTGCATGTGTATTTAACAACTTAATTTTTTATTTACTCAAATTTACAAGTTCAAATACATGCAGAGTGCCAATGTACAGCTTGAATGTGTACCATCTTTTGTGAGTGGCATTGACTACTTATAAAGGGGTTGAAGGCAGCAGTGGTCTTGTGATGTAATGTGTGATCTAATATGAAAGAGGTAATCTACCTAAAATTAGGCATCACAATTTGCATTCTAGAGCCACCCATCATGCATTTTCTTGTTGTTTGTATACGGCATTAGGGTGTTGAACTCCAAAATTTTTTGTTCATTTGATTGATTGGTTGATTGACCAATCAATCAGTTTTTTTAGCAGGGCTACATATATGTGTCCAACATATTCGTGTGCGATTCTTTCGCTTGCAGTCATGTAGCCGTTCTCCTCTGGTGTCACCACATTCATCCCCCATGGTGACCCGTCGTATTGCGACTACTGCACCACCTCCTGTGCCACCACGCAGAGCATCACCCACCAACACTCCTGGCCAATCACCTGGCACCTCACCAAGGTAATGCGTCTTGCGAACACTTGCTCACAATATCTGAGGCTGTAGCATAGTCATACTTGTCCTGTGGAGACAGACAAGAAAAATGTGAAACGTTGAAGGGACTCTGAAGAGAAAAATAATTTTTTTAATATTTCTAGGTCACACTTTCACGATACCAAGAACACCCCTCTTGCTGCTAGAAGACGCTCGACAAGCGAGAAAAAAATGTGAAAATAAAATGTGGATGGTGACTCCACACTAAAGTTCTTACACTGTATGCTGTGATGTCACAGTTCTTTATGGTGTCCACTTGGACCTTCATTGTTCCTAATCAGGTAGAATGATGTACATTGCCTTTTCAGACAGACAGAAACCAAGTTTCAGGAAATTTTTCTGAGGAAATATGGCCAGAATATGAAAGAACACTTTGAATTCCATGACATGTCATTAGATTGATTTGATATGTGGGGTTTAACATCCCAAAACCATCATATGATTATGAGAGATGCCGTAGTGGAAAGTTCTGGAAATTTTGACCAGCTAGGGTTCTTTAATGTGCACCCAAATCTGAGCACACTGGCCTACAGCATTTCCGCCTCCATCAAAAATGAAGCTCCCACTGTCGGGATTCGATCCCCCGATCTGTGGGTCAGCAGCCGAGTACCTTAGCCACTAGATCACCGCAGCGGGGCAGTGGTAAACTTAATTGTGAAACCTATGACTAATTTTCTCAGCTATTAATAAAGCTGTGTTAGGGAAATTAATCACACTGAAGTTTTCAAAGTAATTTATCGGTCTAAACTAATTTATAATATCACTTTTATGTCTTAATAATTGAGAGAACTGGGGGTTCTTTAGCAAAGTAGCTTATTGCCTTAGTGTAATGCTGAACTTCAATTTCAGTGACGTGCCACCTGTTGGCCTCACTATAAACCAACAAAGCATTGCATAAATTATAGAGATGTGGGACACAGACGCAGTTGCATAGGGTAGCTTGTTAGGCCCACGTATTCATATTGAAATTATAACACATCAGTTGTCTTCATGTGCCAGCTTCTACAAGGAAAAATTTCAAGGGCCTTTTACTCATCCTTGGGCATGTGTCCACCTATGATGTGGTTGCATTACAGGGCTTCTGTGTTCCTATAGAGGCTGTATGTACATTAATTTTTGTGAAAAACTTAAGTTTTCCTCATTTTTGGCTTTATTTCATTATGAGTGTTTTTTGTATACACTCAAACCTCAATGTAGCGAACCCGAGTATAATGAAATATTGGTGATAACAAACTAAATGAATATACTATCGCAATAGATACAGTGCTAAGAATATACCTTTAGAACAAATGCTTGGATATAATGAACCTATTTTTGTGTAAGATACAACTTTGTGATAATGAGTTTTGAGTGCATTCAACTTTAATTTACCTTAGGTGGTGCCACCGTCACAGTTATGCAACTAATGCGTGCTTTTACAGTGAAAGTTGTTATGAAATCACAAGGGTTGCATATGGTGCTGTAGTCAAACAAGAAAAAAAAAACTTAGTAATATAAGAACACTAAGGACACAGCAGGATTCGAACCCAGGTCTGGTGCATGCCAGCCCAGTGTTCTGCCACTGAGCCACGCTGGCACTTGAAACTCATTTCAAAACTGACTTTAGACAGGCTTGATGTCGGGAAAGAAATCGTGCTAATAAGAGCAATAAAGCGTTTTAGAAATACGAACAACCAGGCGTCACACAGGTGAAGAGTTGGTTGTCCAATGCTCCAACCCATTACAGAAGCTTGTTCTTGATCACATATTAACTGTGGTGCATACCCACTTCAGGCATCATTCTTCATTATCGCTAGTCTCTGCATGAAAAATTTCACAAAGAGACTTGCAAGTGTGTAGCAAATACCACGCTTCTGGGTGGGTACCCAGCTTGGTAGGTACCCAGCTTGTTTGGGTGTGCTTATAGCAGTTGCCCAAAGAGTCCTTTTTAACATGACTGCAAGATATGAATGAGCTTTTCACAGCAGCGTCTACTTTCCGCTGCACATGCTTTTTTCACCAACACCGTGCACAAGGGGTAGTTCAAGGCACCTTTAAATCGGTAGCTTGTGACAAAAATAAAACATGCTGTAGTTGTGATAGTTAGTACCCTTTTGTGTCCCTCTTCTCGTTTTTGTCTGCATTGTATAACAAGCCAACCAGCCCAGCAACAAGTTTGTTGATCTTGTGGTTTATTCTAAATAAAACTACGTAGGTATGTTGGCAGACTGCACTGTTCACATTTGAATGAAAGAACGGGAATGGATCAAGGCATACAGTTGGTGTTGGCTAACACTATCAGGCTTACGTGCATGGAAATAGCCAGTAAAGTGGACGGGAGGGTGACCATTCCTGTGGCTCAATCAGTAGAGCATGAGGCACATTAACTGAAGATTGTAGGTATTGTTCCAACCAGTAGCAGTGCTGCTTTTTGTCCACTTTAGGTCCTTTCAACTTATGTCATAACTACTACACAACAGTTAACGGCTATAAATAATGTCCTTTACATTTTCCTTGGCTTTACTGCCCATTGGGTTCATCAAGTACTGCCTACTTTTGTGTTATATTTCTTCTTCAGTTTAATCATGTGAATATGCTATTTTTCATCTACATTTGTTTGCCAATGACCTTTGATCTTCTGTACTCAGGCACCAAACCCTGTTTAGGCCAGGTACAGATGAGTACATCAATGGGGGAGCACCTTCTCGGACCTCCAGTACGCCTCAAAGTTCACCCGAGAATTCTGGTGAGTACAGTAGCCATGAACATATTTTTCTAAAAAGTCTTATCTTGATAAGGATTTGCTGTCCTTTCTTGGCTTTAGTTCACTGACTCTAAGTCCATAGTAGTGGGGAACTTTGTGGCTATGGAAATTCATAAGCAAAGCATATTTTGTTCTTTGCTTCGAAATGCAGGTAGATTTAGCAAAGCAGTTGGGGAAAGTATGTTACATGACAGCATCCGTCCTGTCATGTACTGTTCTGTCTTGTCCTCGACAAAAGTAGCTTTACAAAATTTTATGCAGGTATAGATATCGCCATTGTTTTTAAGATATTTAGGAACAGTCTATTGCCTGGGCAGCACTATTCCTTTCTAACTTAATCATATCAAGAGTCTACCTGTTGGCACTGCAGTGACAATGAAATGAACAGTTCGGTGCACTGAAGCAGTCAATAAAATTAAACAACTCCTACAAGAAGTGAGGAAAGTTATCCTGAATTCATTTTTTTATCAGCGTTGTCTGTTTGTCAAACATGCCTTGTCTGCGTTTCCTCATTTTTGCCTGCTGTACAAGATAGAAAATAATTTCTAATCACCTGCAAAGTTATTTACTTTTTTCTTAGTAAAGCATTCGCAAATTCTTTAGAAAGAAAACGAAACTCATGATTTGCCTTCATGAAGGCTTCTTGACATTGTGAATTTTCAAGCTTAATTAGTGAAAATGTCCCACATGCCACTGCAGGCCCTCGTGTAAACAGGAGCTCATTGTCGCAACTTGCTTCTCTGCTTACAGGCACCAGTGTGACATACTCAGAAGTCCAACACGACACGGGCCTCTTCGCCAGGAGCTCGTGTTCAGGTTCCAGCTCTAACCCGGGATCAGCCTCAAGCTCCAGCTCTGGCTGCTGCCTTGGTCCCCGTCCTTCTTCCTCCTTTCCACCTACCATCGTCACCGTGGCTCCATCACCGCCCAACACCAATGGGACGTGGCCTGGTGGTGGAAGCAGCGCACCCCTGCAGCGTGCACCCTCACCGCTGCCAGCGCCAAGCATCCATTACGCCGAACTGGCCGAGCTCTTTGAAGAGCCCAGCTATGCCAACACTGAACTCAGTGCTGCTACTGGGCTTGGTCAGTGGAATATGGCAAAATATTGAACTCTGAATAGGGTCTTACTGCTGCTTTTGCCGCAGTGCTGTTGAAAGGGCCCACTTTTTCAGCATGGTCAAAAAACACTGCTGATAAGTAGTCGAGGCTTCTGATAACATGTAAACCAAGTTAGTATAGCCTAGGATGTGGCCTGGAATTTACAATTCATTTTGAAAGTCAACTAGAAATAGCTCACTCTTCTCTCGACAAAGGATGCCATAAACCAAAATGACTGCCCCGTAAACATAGTCTACAGCCATTGGTCAATTTAGGCATCGTGACCTACATGGTAGTTACGATGGGCCCACGCGCTCACTCACGATCAGGCCGATAGTAAGCTGTATGCTTGAAGAAGAAAGAGAAAAGTGCTCAAGGTCATAATACACTGGTAAACAAACATAGCTTCTTGTCCCCTTGTCATCCCCCTCACTGGTATGAAAGGAAAGATACCAGTGAAATACCAGTGAAAGATACCAGTGAAACCAGGAAAGATACCAGTGAAACCAGGAAAGATACCAGTGAGCACGCTCACTGGAATGAAAGGAAAGATAAAAAAGTGTGGGAAAAATCCCCGTAACTCTGCTTATACCTGGCAGACTGAAAATTGTCAGGGCAGTCAATTCATGAGACAGTTTACTTAATAATAAACCCCATGCAATGATTACCCGGAAAAAGTGTTTCAGGGTCGCTTTAAAGGCCAACTGCAAAAAAATTTTAGACTGCATAAGAAAACCTGTTTTGTATTGCTATATGTAATTGCTTTTTTTTTCATGATGAACACATATTAACAACTAAACATGGGCCATGGGCATTCTGGGAGGTTGGGGGTTCCAAATTCCCCCACATTTTTCAATTTTGCTTGTGTATGTATACACACACACATAGAAACACTTGTGTAAACATACATAAAGCATGGTTGAACCCCCCTTGAAAAAAATTCTGGCTACGCTAATGACATGGGCTATCACTCAGCACAAGTCACATTAGAACATATGGCAACCTTCACAATTGTTTTCGAATATTCTTATAAAAATGTAGATGAATTTCAAGTTGTTGAGTTTATTTTGAGTTCACTTGAATTTCACTACGTTGCAGTAGTTGCCAAAGGCTGCTTTTTGAAATTTCAAAGTAGCAATAGGCTCTTTGCAGGAAGAACGTTTATTCTCCTCTTGAACTCAACTGCCTGTCTCTACTAGTTTAAAATATAGGTCCATTTATTTTAATTACTTCCATAATGAATGTCTTAAACCATCTTAAAATGTCTTCTGCTACAGAAAAAGTGATTTTGAAGGCAGCCAGCAAACATTTCATTTCCCTACTTTATGAGAATTTTCGGACACACTTCTTGCAACAATCAGTATATAGATATTTGCAATCTGACCCTGTTTATTGGAACTTACCTACACGAAATGATTTAGAATTGAGGGCTCCAATTTCCCCTGCCTAAGAATTTCTTTTTCTTGTTTGCAGCTGCAAACCCTGTTCCACGCCAAACCGAGCCGTCCTCATTGGACTCCTTACTGTGTTCACCTCTTCCCGGGTCAGCAAACGGATCCGTGGGAACTAGCCAGAAAATTGAGAAGAGGTGAGGCGTTCTCAAGTTAGTTTGTCGTGAAGTCAGTCAATCGTGATAAGCCTCAAAGCTTTTGCTGCTTTGTTTGTTCCGATTATTCATTTTGCATTACCATTACCCTACATTGAGTCTCTAATTGGAAAAAGAATGGTAGTGGTTCCCTGATTGACAAGTGCATACTTTCTGCAATGCCAATGCAAGACTCAAGATATTCCTAGAGTCATACCGTATGATTCACACATTGTGTTGGGGACAATTGTCTATTTCAAACGGGCCATGGCAGCACAGTGGCTGTGACATCCAGCTGCTGAGCAAGAGGTTGGACTACAGTTTTCACCTCTTCCCGGATCAACAAACAGATTCGTGGCAACTAGCTATGAGTCTCAGCTTTCACAGCCAGGCTTCAATAAATGCAATGTGCTGGAACTGTCGTGTATACTTGTATTTGCGTGTACAATGCTAAGAAATCTCAGGTAATAGTAGTTCATTGTGGCTTTCTCCGTGATTAACTGTATAGCTCTGGGAGCGTTTTGTATGTTTCAAGTGTATATGACTTCTTATTTTCTGGCATTTGAGGTAAACAATGATGAATGTGCTTAGGTAGTGCTGCATCCGGTAGATTATATATTGGTGCAAACAGAAGCTCACCCACAAACCACCTATTTAAAACTGATGTTTTTAATGAAAGATCAAATGCCAATTAGTATAACTTATTAATGGGCCAGTAAACAGTTTTCAACTTTTTTTTACACCCCCCAAACAAGCTCGCCAATTTGTACAGTAGACCGCCACGATCACATTCACTGAATATTACAGCGCTGTGCAGACCCTCCTCTTACGTTGTGTTGTTCTTGGGCAGCAATGGATACAGGACCAGCCCAGTCGAGAGCAGTGATGGAACTGTTTATTCTCAAGATACAAATTTGGAGGTGCAGTGTAGGTGGCGCCAGTATTTCTTTAGTTCGAGGGCAACGCATAGATGGCAGCACTAGAAGAATATTTGGTTCATTGTGTGCATATGTAACACCTCCATTTCGAAAAACAATCCGTGCCTGTTTCCCTTGCCTGAACAATCCCCCTTGTACGCACAGTCTGATGAAAGTTTGCCTATGGGCAGCGTCGCGCACCAGCGACCCTGTTGGCTGGTTGTTTGCCCCACGAAACGGTGCCTTGGCCCTGCGGCAAGTTTCAGCCACGCAGTCTGCATTTTCATTTTTCTGTGGTGCCCTCTGCCATTTTGTAGAGCCCGAAACTCCGGTAGAAGTGGTATTGCCAGAACGAAGGCTTTGGAGATAAAGTGGCATCCAACCACTTTACCGCGAGAAGAAAAGTGCTCCTTGCTTCACGTCTCCTGCCCACGCCGTTATGATATGTACTTTTTGGGGGGAGGGGGGGGGAGTCCCGCATGGTCGTCGGTTGAGTGCCAATGGCGTATCATGGACGTCGTGTCACGTTGCCGAAGTGGGCAGAGTCAGGAAGACAGGCTACTCCTTCGCGGAGAAGGGCAGCGAGTGGCCGCACAAAAATTTGAAACCGACTGAAACAGATGTTCTAATCCCTGCACCTTTTTTTATTATTACACATATTCGCAAGATTCTTGCAGCAGCATGTTCAGATAGCAAAAGTGCTTGTATTTTTCTTCATTAAAATTTTTTTACCTCGGGGTTGTTTACTGGCCCTTCAAGACCAATCAGGCTAAGTTTTTGCTCTGTGCCTACTAATTTGCTGTTCTGAGTATGAAACCTGTGTTTAGCTCACCTGACTTTCTTGAGCTGTTGCTTCTCCTGTCCTGCAGGCTACGAATGTTGAGACCCCTTGGCACAAGTGCCCTGGAAAACAAGGAAAACGACCGCGTGAGCTACGAGAATCTTCATATGGACTACATATCGGAGCTCACATCTGAGGGCTACGCACAGGACGCTGTGATTCGTGCTTTGGGGATAGCACGGAATGACTTGCAAATGGCGAGAGATATCTTGCACGAATTCGCCGGCAAGAACAAGTGAGGAGTTGCACGTCGCTCCTTCTCTAGCAACAAAACTCAAGGACACGGGACATACAGACCTCTGCATGCAAGGCGGCATGTCTGATCCAACGATGCAACGACTGGTGTGTCGCAACTCTAGGAGACTGATGAACAATGATGTGCTGGGTTTCGACACGAGTGCCGTTGTTGACTGGAGAAGAGTGAGCCAAAGGTGTGTCATCTAGGATTTGAAGCCAGACGATGTGCAAGGAAGATTCAGGAGTGTTGTTTTGTTCCTCTTCTTTTACTGTCCCCAGGATAACGTTTATATTTCTTGAGAACGTGAAGCTAGGCATCCGAATGTCTGCAAGTACTGAACACCTAAATTCATGTGGTTTGTTGAAGGGATTTACAACTTTTTCATAGCGTTAGTTTAGAAAGTGGGAAACAGCTCATTTAGGTGAGCTTTCTAAGCTCTCTTTTCTTCCTTCCCCGTGTCTCTGCCAAATAAGGCGAGATACAGTTATGCAAGTTTAGTACTCCATCTACAAGTCTTTTTTTTTTCTCTGGAGTGTAGTATTAATTCACCTTCAACAAGGACACTGCTTTGGGGAGCTTAGAGCGAATAAGCTTTATTTTTTAAAAAATCGCTGTTATTCGAAGTTCTGCGCATGACGTTTGCATGCTAGTCATTTTTTCAGACAATGCAAAGTACAGAAGCAGAGCTTCTTTTTTTTTTAACTTGCATCTTTTGGTGATCACGTTTCACATGGTTTTGAAAGTCACAAAAGGCTGATTCTGGTTTTACGTTCGTGCTTGTACAGCATTTATACATAAGTGTTATCATATCACATTCATATTGAATGTTTTTAAATTCAAGCGTTAGCATCGTACCGCTACTAGACGCTTCACTAGAGGCAGGGTTGGCCAGCAAACAGATGTGCCCCATGCATTCGGCCGGTGCCCTGCATTGTACTTCCGTACGTTTTTATGAATACTGTGATCTGAGCCGCGGCGGTAACTTATTCCAAGGATGCACGTGATGCAATCACATAAAAATGTGATCATTGTGCTGCAAAGCTCTTTGTTCTTGGCTGTCATTAGTTTGTTCTTTTTTTTCCTTGCCATTCTGCAGTAGCATCAATGATTTTATACCATCTTGATTTACATTGGATATATATACATTTGTCACACGACGCAGCCACTCGAGTTCAAACTGTACATTGTATTTGTCGTCCCTTTGCGAGATCTTGTATATTGTGGCATCGATCAACAGTTGCAACTTAGACATGCATTGTAGACAATTTCCTGTTTGCATGATGAGTCCAGCTTTGAATCTTTAGGTGTTTAGCGTGGTTTGTACAGTATTATAAATCATAGCCAACTTTGACCAACTGTAATTCTTATAAGTTGATGCAGAACTTACTGCTAAAGATATTTAGGTTGTAGTTTTGGTTAGATAGAAGTGATCTGGCTAACCACCATGCTAGTTTGCATAGTTGAGCAAACAAGCCTTACACACTGTGTTGTATAAGAATGCATGTTTATTTAACTAAGGCCTGATGTCGCTTATTTTATTTGGATAGAAAGAAAATATGTAGAGATACCTCTGTTTGTGCACAAGCGGGTAATAATAGATGACATTTAATAAAGGGAATTGCGCAGGTACTAAGGCCTTTATGTCAAGCATGAAGGGCCTTGTTGTATCTGTTACCAGGTTGGGCTCCTTCACGGAGCTTGGGTCAATATAATAATCATTTAACATGTTGTACAGAAAAATACAGGACAGTTTGATTGGTGACCATGGTCATCAAAAAAAAAAAGAAGTATAAGTACAACTCTCATGCCCATCAGATCATTCGTTGATATCATGCACATCGTGGTCACTCTTGTACGCTTCTCTGGTGTGACGTTCCGAGATCTGTCCCTTCACTCCTTATTCAGCATGAACGAACCTTCAACTCTTCGTCTCGTAGCATATTGTACGTGCGTGCATGTGCGTTTAACTGTGTGTTCAGCTTACGAAATCCTGAGCAGTGCGACGTTACGTGTTACATTGCAGGCTGTTTTACAAATAAAATAAGATGTAGGTAGTCTGAATGGGGATACGAAAACAAACCTGCTGCGAGGATATATGTCTCCTGAACTGTGTGGAGTTCCCCTCACTTTAAAGCTGAATTGAAGCCTCTGCACTAGAAATAGCACAATACCTTAGCAATTCTGGAGTCTGTGAAAACTCCCTGAAACTACGTGAAAGTCAAGCTTTGCCATTAGGATGGTGTTCTGTATGTAGGGTTCTGCATTTTTCACTTTCTCATATTGCAAATTAGGCTTGCTTTATATTTTTAGTATTACTTCCTGGAAGAGTGTATTTTAAAATTTTTATATGATGACTTGGTTTCTACAAAATCTTCACAGTACTTCCTTCTTTTGTTTGCTAAATTTGTTTGCATCACATCATTTGTGCAAAAATCTAAAGTTTTTTTCTTCTTTGATATGTGAAATGCACATTTTTGATAATTTGGCATGTTGTGCATTGCTTTTTATCAGGAACAATTTTACACCCCTGTCATTGCTCTTATCGGAATATCAATGTTGGTAACACAATGTTGTGGTAAAATACTTCTAGTGCCGACCATGTGCAACCGCCACTTGTAAATAATCTAAGGTGTATTAGCTCCGAATGGTGGCAATAAGTGCTGTGACATAATTTATAAGTAAAGTGTTGTGTTGGGCATCTCTATACGCAAGATTGATCAAACACAACACACTTGAAACATTAACATCGTCGTTGACATATTTCACATTTGTTGGCATAGTTTACAAGCAGCATTGAATTTTAATTATTTATTTTTCTAAGTTTCAACTAACTGATGTAGGTAATCGGCTTAGTAAAACCTATATAGATGGATCTGGGAGTAACAACTGCAAACATGTGTGCTTTTTTGATAAACGAATTCAAATATTCTTTTAGATGTGTAGCTCTTTCATGTAATAAAACCCTAAAGGAAGTTAAGTTGAAATAGGTTTGCCATACAATTTAATTATTTTATTTTCAGTACCACTAGTACATTCATGTTCTTCTTGTACCCTTATTATTTTCAATTAGAAAGAAAGTCCCTAACTCTCGTAAATGACAATGGCACAACTTTTTTTTCATTGTTATTTGTTTATAGTTACTGAAGATGCTGAACCCTACATCTATGATAACGTTATAAAGAGTGAATTCCACACATTTTTTTATCATCTTAGCTTGTTCTGTTAATAATTCTAAAATAGGACTGGTTCTCTCAGTTCGCACTGCATCATAGGAAAACCGAGAAGCAAGGTTGATCTGTGGGTTTCTTATCACCTTTGTGGATTTGCGTGTATTGGGGTACCCACTATCATAAGACAGCACAACGTCTCGCATAAAAAAAGACTGTATGATGTGCTTCCATGGTTGAGAGGACATGTTATTGAGTGAAGTTTGGTGGCGTGTAAATGTCTGTGGTGGGCGTCGTGACAAAAGCACCGGAAATAATTCATATAGTATATATATTTGCAAAGGCAAATGAAGTGTTTCTAGGTTTGCTTCTTCTCAATAATCAATGCTCTAAATCTGGTCTCCAGCATGACCAAGTACATTATGTTGAAATTACCTTATGCTGGAAAACTCAACATGCACTCACAAGAATTAAAATAAAATTGTGTGTCAACCCTTTTCTAATTTCTGCTCACTTCAGTAATGTGCAAACAATCGAGGCCTCCACATGCACGTGGCTAGGCTGTTAGTCTTTTAAATAGGATAGTTACTTCACATTAGCAAGTTGAGCCCTGGGTTAAGTAAAAGTAAACTGCTTTGATGACCATTGAGGTTTTTGCTGAGCAAGTCTCTGGAGATTAGAAAAAAAATCGAGAAATGCAAAATTTCCAAAGGCCTTTTTGGTCAGAAATGTGCTGACAATCAACATTGTTAAAATGGCATAAAACCTTTTAAAATCGAGAAATGTGAAATTTTCAGTTTTGTAAGCTTAACTCATTAATGAAACATGTATCCACACTCAGTTTTATAGAATGCAAGGCAATTTTCAAAATTTGAGAAATACGATATTTTCAAAGTATTACTGAGAACTAGCAGGCAATGATGCCAAGGAAAGTATTAGTAATTGTAACGTAAATGGGAAGAAATAAAACTGGGTGAAAAGATAACTTGCCGCTGTCAGGAACCAAACCTGCGACCTTCAACTAACTTGTCTGATGCTCTACCAACTGTGCTACAGCAGCGATCATCGCCTCCCCTCCCTCCCGGCCCATCTACTTTATGGGGTATATATGTGCATTCAAACCTGGGGGTGTTTGTCAGCACCGCAAGTGGCTATGCCAGCAAGTGTTAAACACTCTTTTTATGCCTCTTGACGTCTCGGGAGGTGGTGTTATTACGAGCTTGCAGCTAACCAATAATCCCTCACAGCATCAAGTCTACCATAACGAGACTGTCGTTATGAATGAAGGAAAATGGAAATTGAAAGGCTTGTTTTCTTTGTTAGAACAAAATTATTGAGAACTAGCAGACAACGACATCAAAGAAAGGAGGGGATATCCATCTTTCTTTCTTCATATTTATAATTACTACTATATGTATAATAGCATCCCCTATACGTTCCTTGGCATCATTGTCTGTTAGTTCTGATCAACATTGTGTTAAAGAAAAATGGGCCCTTTAATTTGCTATTCTTTCTTTGCAGTTTCTAAAGGCTTTTAGTACTCACGGATTGAAATGGCAAAATTAATGGCAAAGTAATACAAGTACTTTTGTTTCCAGCATCTAAACTGTGTCATATAGATGTAATTTGCACTCGAGCAACCTGACGAGTTTCGCCAGGTTGTTTACCCTGCATATGCAGCATCTGATAAGCTCTGGTGGGAATAGCGATAGTTCGCTTTGCGAGACGGTGGCGCCCTCTCTTGCGCGGTATGGGAGTGAGTCGTATGGTTCTGAAGTGTTCTTAGCGATATGAAGGACTCTGGCGATGTTAAGCTAGTTATTGCAATTACTTCTTGGTTATTCCTGTTAATTATAATTCTTACACTTCGTTTATTTTAACGTGGTATTGAGTTATGCTAGCCTTGCTTTAGGCCACTTGGATTTTAAGCGTGATCACACCACACCAGATCTGTGGATTAACAAACCGGGCCCCTAAAGAGCTGCGTACTTGGAAGAATAAACAAGTCGGCTCCACTCCGCGAAAACTGTCTGACGGCGAAGCTGTAAGTGCGTGAGCGTATGTGATAGGCCTGCGAGATCACACGGGTCTATAAAGACGCCCCTATAGATTTGAAATGCGCGCTCTTGCATCAAATTGTTCATAGCGAGCTCACGTGACCGACCGGCTCAAGAAATGGTGTTGCAGTGAACGCATGGAGGAAGGAATACCGATGAAAGCCAATGGAGGAAGGAAACTCATGAGCGAACGCCTCGCGTCACGTGATTTCCAGCTGCATCACATGGTTTCGTAAATACGTCGTTGAACTTAGAATGCTACCACTTAAAAAAAAAACAAGATCAAGCGATCGAATTTCAGCGAACGCCTCGCTGCACGTCACATGGGTTGCGCGCGCCCAGGTGCCTTGCCTTGGTTTATACCATAGGCGTAGCCAGTGGGGTGGGGTGTGGGAAGGTTCAAACCCCTTCAAAATTTTAGATGCGAATCAGCTTATGGCGGAGTTCAACCCGATGGTGTGCGGCGTGACCCATACGCCAACTTTCTTCTTCCTCTCCTCGCGTGGGGAGATGGGGAGAGTTGGCGCATGCGCAGTGGTGGAGTAGACGGTCGCCGAGGGCCCTACGGCAGAGCCAACGCCACCTAGGCAGTCTAGGTGGCGTTGGCAGAGCGCTGCCTCTGCTTCGTTTCTCCTCTCCCGTTTATCTCTCCTCCGCCACAGCTGTGCGCTCGTGTATAAGCTGTCGGGGGGGGGGGGGGGGGGTAGTGATCCCCTTGACTCTGCATCCAATTGCGCTCTCCTAGCAGCGCTGGGTGTTCACTTTGCGGCGCACACACAAGGCAAAACATACAAATGGAAGGAGGGGTTATCATAAGTGGTACACGACATCAACACAACTTCACACGCAAATGAAACATACACATAGAAACATACAAATGAAAACACAAGTGAACAGCAGCACTGCTTCGCATCCTCAAATGGTTCCCTTTAATGGGAGAAGGTGTAACGTCTTAAATTTTGTTTGCGTATATATAGAGGCATACATACAGACACACGCACGAACATCCATAAACTATGGTTCAAGTGTCCCAACAATCACATGACGTACTGAGCTACGAGTTTTCAACTGATCCCGGTCAAGATAGGGCGCCCGTGACTGCCACCGGCCAATCAGCTGAACGCCGCTATATTAAAATCATCTCAATCGAATTTTCTTTTCCATCGAACTATTTTACATCGAACGTCAATGCGCAGCAAAATTTATGGCTGCACTGAACTAAAATAAGCCCCTTCATACATCGAATATTGTGCAGAGCTAAACGCCCAAGAAGTTTGCTTTTCCTAACAAGAGATAGGCTGTTTCTCACGTAAAGGGGGTTTCCCGCATGCATTTGTGAGAGTGGGCTGTGTGATTAGGAGGGCCGTGTCTGCACCGCATTTTCTCGCCTACAATCCACCCCTGCATATAACTCCCACTGGCACCGCGCAAAAATAACATCTAAACAAAATCCCCGCTAGTTGCGCTAAGCCACCTTCCTTGCATTACTTGCGCGTCAAATATCGCATTGAAGCAGACAAAGGGAGAAGGCAGGGAAGTTAACCAGAAAGACGTACGGTTGACTAGCCTACACTGGGGGTTTAGAGAAGGATGAGGAAGAGGGAAGAGAAGTAAAAGAAAAAAAAGGGAAAGACACAGAGTAAATTCACTTCAGCAAGTAAAACTCCACCGCAAGTTAGAGGCGTTCACACAAATCCGTCGTTCTCAAAAAAACACAAGAGGGCAGTCACTGCCTTGTGGACTGTCGAGAGATGTGGGCGATGCTGTAATAGCAGCTGCAAAGAAAGTGGCCGATCATCCAGTCGCCGCAATGCGCTGGCAAGTACTTGTCTGTCTGGAGTAAATCAAGGACAGTGGCACAGCAGGTGGTCGATATTTTCATCATTTCCGCAAACATCGCATGTCACACTGTCAGTCGTTCCGATTAACGGGGTATATGCTTTCGTGAAAGCAACTGCCAGCCAAAGGCGATAGAAAAGCGAAGCTTCACGTCGATGTAGGCCGGGTGGAGGCCGGAGTTGTAGTGAAGGGTCAAGTTCATGTATTCTGGTACGTCGTATGCTTGATATATTCCACTCAGTCAGTGTGAGACTGCGGGCCAGTTGACGAATCTGCCTCGTAGCGTCCGCTCTTGAAAGCGGAATGGGAACGCTTCCCGATGTGACGCGCGAGCAGCATGATCTGTGGAATCGTTTCCGCTGATACCACAGTGCCCAGGTAACTGCTGAAAGACGATGTCGTGGCCTTTTTGTATTAAGAGGGGGTGAAGTGTGGCGGTTTCATAGGTCAACTGGTCGTGGCATCCGCGTTGGAGAACTGACCGCAGGCACTGTAACGCTGGCTTTAAGTGAGGAAACTCATTTACTTGGTCTTTCTTCAAGACCGATGAGTTCCAGTGTGATGTTATAACCACTGCTCCACCATAACTGGACGATGTAGTCGAGACATCCGTGTAGACGTGCACGTGGTTGCTGTAGTTCTGGTCCAGTATGAATAGACTCCGTTGTTGTAGGGCATGTGTCGGCAGGTTTGATTTTCTCTGTATTCCTGGGATCATTAGGTAAATTCGCGGCCGACTCAAGCACCAGGAGGAAGCAGTGGCTTTGATGCAGGTGCGTACGCTTCAGTAAATGATGAGTGGTGCTTGCAGACAGTGACACCGCATGTCGTGTGGGGCCTTTCAGTTGCGAGGCTCGCCTGGTGGTGGGAAGGGGTCCTGGCGTAATGCCTGAGGGGCATGTGCAATGTCTCGGTAATAATATGCGTCTTGATGGAGTGATCTTGAGCGATGGGAATGATTTCAGCTGTTGAAGCACTGCGGGGTAATCCAAGGCATATCTTAAGTGCTTGGGCTTGAAAGCTCTGAATCGTGCGCTGGTTGTACTTGCCGGTGTTAGATATTGCAGGTAAGCTGTACCGCAAGAATCCGATAAACAGCACACTCTACAGTTGTAGCATGGATGGTATGGGCACTCCCCATTTCTTTCCTGCAAGGAATTTGAACATGAGACATGTTGACATATTCTGTTTACCCTACAATTTCCGTCTTCGCTTTCCATCCGGGCTCTCGCATCGAGATGCAGCTTTGTTGTGTCGCCTGTGGTTGGGTGTGGCCACCAACACTCACATTTTCCGCCAACATTCACCAACATGTCTGCTTTTAATCGCCAAACAAATGCGTATACGTACAGCTTTCTTGACCGTGCTGTTGAAATATGAAATACTTTACACGCCCATTTTAAATATTTACCACTTGATGAGTTCGGGTTGTACTAACCTTTCATCTTCACATTATTTACATTTTGTGTTGTAGTGTAATTTATTTATTCTGCATCCACCCCTGCGATATCCCTTCATGAATGCAGTGTGCTGAAATAATTGAATGAATAAATAAAAATGAACAAATAAAGAAGTAAATAAATCAAGCTCAAATTCCGTTTAGTTGATACGGAGCATTTCGAAATAATATTTAGTTAGCGTGTAGTATCGACAACGCCACATTCGGTCGAGTGGCTACGTGGGTCCATTGGATGCGTGCATCCTCCTTTTTTTTTTTCCCTTCTTTCTTGCAGTGGAAAAGCCCTAGACAAGGTTTGTTCAAAGGGACCGCCAAAGCTGCAAGATGACGGTCACTGCTCTTCTTGCAGACCCACCGCGGGCGCCGGATAGCGTCATCTGCGCCGAAAGCGGCTTGATGCTTGAACAGAGGGCAGCAGCGACAGAAAAAAAAAAAGAGCAAAAGAGAGTCGAAGGCTGGCTGCAAGTCGCTTGCCCTGTGGTCTTCATCATCGACCACCGCTGAGTAGCGCGCGCGCCGTGGGTGAGGTGTGCGGCGGTTCGCACAATGACGCCGGCGAAAGGATCTTTGCCGCTCGTTTTTATCGGGGTGGTCTTTAGCGCCCCTTTGGTGTCCGCTTGGGCGGCGCCTGATGTTTCGTCTATATAGTTTAAAAAAAAACACGAAACAAACAAACGGCGCGGGTCTGGGTGGTCTCGCACCGCTTGTTGCCGCCTCCTAGTTTGCCGCTCTCCACGGGTGGTGAGCTTGTGCCCCTGCAAAGTTTCACGCGTTGGGCAAACAAGATTGTAGTAGTCGAGCGTCGTTCGTAGCGTGGCTAATTGGCATTCTTTGCTGCCGTTCAGTTCAAGGGCTACAACGGTAGTCTATCTCACCCTTTTCTTTTCTCCTTTTTTTTTTTTAGTGATTTCGGTCTCACGCTGTCTGCTTGACCGACTCCGCGTACAAACATGGACACTCGAGAAGTCAAGACAACTCAAACACCGTCCTGACTTCTCTTGCGTTCCCGCTTGTGCACCGAGTCTTTCAACGTGAATGTACAAATCTGCTCAGCTCTCTGCTATTCTTATAGACTGCGACATTGTCGTGGCATGCGTTGTCTGATGCGACGCTGCTATTTACACGAAAACGAAGCGGTGGCTATTGTTGTGACTCGTACGGGCGCTGACAACTATAAAGGAGCAAATATTAGTGGAGAGTTTGTTTTTTGTTGTTGATGTTGTTGCTGTTGCGGACACATAAGCAGTCTGTAAAAAAAATGGCGAATATTTTTTTAACAGACACAACGCTGGCAATGACGAGTCACGAAAGGAAGACTTGATACTAACGACACTTTCAAGTGCCGTCTTTATTAGCACAAATTATTTACCTAATTTGGGAATTCTGATCCAGAGCAAAATTTTATAGAAAATTTCTATGAAGCACGTTAAGAAACGCCCATTCTATCTCTTATATGACGACATCGAGAGAATAAAACCGTCATATCCCCGTCAGATACAGGATTCCAGCACGATGGTCTTATTTGCGTATGCGCTATACAGCTTCTTCGTTTAATAATATCTTTCTTTTAAGAGAATACATCGACAGTGAGTGTCTCATACTTGTTACTTAACGACTTTTGAACCGGGTGTGAGCCAGCTTCTTCGCGTGAAACGGAAGAAGAGACTCAAATAATGAATAACACTGGCACCTAGCATTTAACAGAGAAAGACAGTGGCTTAATAAAACAAAAAAAATGCATTTACGCTGTGTTAGTTAACAACCTTTCCAAAAGGACGAAAATGAGTTCTTATTGCACGAAGATTTGATAATCCAGAAAAATATTCGATACCGAAAAACGAGTAGTGAAGCTGCCTTGACTATATATTGGCTGCACGTATAGCACTACCTGACGCCCTGCCGGTTCTATGGCGCCTGCACGGGCATTGTCTAATGTTCATCAGTAAAAACAAATTACATTGTGTTATAGGGCTGAAGTCTACTTGCACCTCAACAGTTCGGTGTCACATGGTCGGAGCAGAAACGTCCAGCATGAAGTCATACCTGCGCCGTAAAACTTGAATGAGAGCCACGACTCTGCACGACGTGGCATGAGTATATATATCTTGCCAGGGTCAGTGATTCGCCCATAGCATCAGAGGGGGGGGGGGGCAGTAACTTACGCCGTGCCTCTTTGAGGTTTTCACTATTTCACTAGCGTCAAGCCAGGGCTGGCAGCTAAGTGCCGCTCAGCTAATGACGTCACAAGTGTCGTTTATGCTCCCGCTTCTGCTCAGAAGAACTTGACTTAGTTCTGTCCGAATGCCCCGCCGCGGTGGTCTAGGGGCTAAGGAACTCGGCTGCTGCCCCGCAGGTCGCGGGATCAAATCCCGGCTGCGGCGGCTTCATTTCCGATGTAGGCGGAATTGTTGTAGGCCCGTGTACTCAGATTTGGGTGCGCGTTGAAGAACCCCAGGCGGTCAAAATTTCCGGAGCCCTGCACTACGGTGTCTCTCATAATCATATAGTGGGTTTTGGACGTTAAACCCCACATATCAATCAATTATTTCTTTCCGAATGTTTCGAAGTGACCCGAAGACTGAGCAGAGGTGGTCTGATAATCATTTACTAAATCACAAATTCCAAATTGAAAAAGAAAGAAAGCGTGAGGTCGTGCTTTTTTCGACGCGAAACGGGCGAAAGAGTTACCATGGGCCAAAATATTGTGCTCAATTATTAAGCCTATACTATAACGTGAAATCAAGTAAAAATGGAACTCGACAACAATTATTTATTAATATGAGCTAATTTAGTATTTACTTTTACCGTTACTTTCAGCTTACAGTATAATCAATACTTGGTTCGTTGCTTTCACGTTGAATACTTGGTTCGTTGCTACACAGGCTATTTTTCTTGGAAAACGGATAACTGAGCTACGTGACACAGACGTAAAAACTAGACACGCTCACAGGTGCAGATTACGTGTGTGCCACGTAACGAACTTATTCTTATTAAGATGCACCGACTAACCCAGCAAAAAGTTCTTCTGAACCACGTTCTAATACAGAAAACTGGATCATTCCATATACAGGTTTAGTTATGGGTGAGCAGATGCTCTGTTACAGACTCCCAAAACTGCTAAATTACTTGACAGAGCACGAAATTGTGATTGAATCAACTAGGAAGAAAATATTAAGACATTTCTTGCGTAACTTTGATAGTTTACGCAGATGGAAAATTGTACGTGTTTATATGCGTGTAAATAATGTTTTTTTTTTATTTCTCTTTCCTTCATGCGCAAAGTGTAATTAAGATATTTACTGTGTCTCTTTTATTTCGCAAGTATATAGCATGTGGTTTCTCGCACGTATCAAGAATGTTTAATCTTCAAAAAGAAACATAAAAACGCAAAACTTACAACCAAGTGGTATGTGTATGAGCACAGACGCACGTTTAGAACGTTTTCTTTGTACAGCATCTACTGTCGTGCTGTATGCCTTGTAAGGGGGGGCCCGAATATCCCTCAAGTGAACGGTGTCTTACTTTTTGTTCGGGCCTCCTCCATTTTTCTTTTGTTGCGTATGGTAAAAAATAAAATAAATTAAATTTAACTTAATTCAATTGATTTTTTTCTCCAGTTTTCGTTGCTTCTTTGGGCTTGACACAAGTCAGCGGGAAAAGCATTAAAAATAAAAATAAACTGTCTCTACCGCAAGGCTGTCACGAGTTCACTTACTCGATCATGAATGACATACGGGATCTTTGGGCAAGCTACTTACCTTAATGCAAACTCACCCCAAAGGTGACTCGAATGCCTCACGGAGTTCGTCTCAAGGAAGACCCCAGCTGGCCTAAATTAATAGCGGAGCATCACACGTCTATACGACCACATCTGGCTCGTAAAATCTGTGCTGAAAAAAAAAAATAGGGGATGTTAGATATGATACAAGTCAGTTGTGCTTCACCTTTATTTCTTTTTTTTTTTTTTTTTTTTGCTGTTGTGCGTTACTTAGCGTGTAATGACTACGTACGGCATGCATGGCGTCTAACCCGTGGTCAGCTTTGCACGAAGCCTCCGCTAGAGGGCTCACCGACGTGACGCGAAAACGCAGGAGGTGGCGCGTTATGTACCGAGACACCGAACGGGTTTTCCCTATGCCTGCAGTGCCGTTTACACCTGGAGGCGGCAAGGCACGGAGGACGCGCGAGTCACGCGTGTCGGCCCACAACTGAGAAGCCGCGCGTGCGTATTCCCGGAATAAGCGTGCTACCACGCGATCTCCGAGTCCAGCTGGCCGACCCTTCAGCACACTCGCTGTTTCGGGGTCAGAACACACCCGGTGCAGCCGCAGCATCGTGGTGGCTGCCCAAGAGATTCAGCAAACACTGTGGCTGGTATCGACGAGTTAAGGGGGAAGTTTGTTCACTCTGCACCGATATTCTCTCTCCCGTCAGATTGAAAACTGCGTAGTTTTGCAGCTTGAAAGTGCACAGCAAGTGTGTAGGTCGCAGTGCAATTTTCCGGATTAATTCTGAATCTCGCCCACCTTCCAGCCGGAGCTGGTCGAGCAGCGTCAACTCGTCGCTCGAGCCCGGCGGGCTGTCCAGGCCAGAGGGTTCCTGGAATAAGCGACCCACCCACCTTCGCTCACAAGCCTAATTCAATAAATGTTTTCTCTCTTTCTCACCCATCACGATGGCCTTTAGTGGTTACAATGCTCCATTGCGACACGGCCGCAGCCGCCGCATCTCGATGGAGATTGTGGTTATAAGAGGGAAAAGAAGAGAAAAGTGAGCCCCGTAACTGTCTGCATCAGCGTGTGACACCTCAACAGTAGCTCCCGAAGGATGGGGGTGAGAAGGGATTAAAATGATAGGATTAAAGGTAGAGAGAGAGAGAGAGAGAGAGAGAGAGAGAGAGAGACAGAGACAGAGAGAGATGCACAAGGACAGTAAGCGACACCATAAGAGAGATAGGAAAGATGGAAACATGATCACAGGAGTCCGAGGACAGGGCACCACTTGCAAGAGCTCTTGTCAACGACAGGAGATAGCGTAGGGCTAATCCAGTCGGCCAGAGCTGCGCTGACGTCGTCGTAGGGGAGCGGCGGCAGGAGGTGGCGAACTGCTACATGTCCCGTATGCTTAGATTTGGGTGCACGTTAAAGAACCAAAGATGGTAAATTTTTTTCCAGCCCCCTCCACTACGACGTCTCTCGTTATCACGTCGTGGTTTTGGAAAATATAAAACCCCATCAACTATTAGTATAATGCTGACCTTCTGGAATTATTTAAAGCGCACCAAAATAGAAGTCCCACACCAAATTTTTCTGCACCAGAGTTGGACCACCGTAGTGAGGAATCAAACTGGCTACCTCGTGCAAAGCTGCACAACGTCACAGTCACTTGGATCACCGCCACTGGTCATTGAAGACTGCGCATTAACCAAGCGTATACCCGCCAACCCCCCCCCCCCCCTTTTTTTTTTTATGCGAGAGTCGATGAAACACCACTGCAGGCATACAGAATTGTTTTCCGGGGTCAGAATATGCTCTAGTGGATCGTCACAGTAAGTCAGTGAGTTTGTTAACTATCTGTGCCTGCGCAATGGTAGATCGTGCAGTTTACCCGCTGTTCGCATTCGGCCGCCTTTCAAATACTACTGATGGAGGAAGCGTGGAATTATTAACGCGAGAGCGTTAAAAAGCTTGTTTCGCAGAAATTCCTGCACCGGCTTCCATGCCCGCGTCGCTGGTTGTGAGCGAAAAATAATTTTTGTGCGCGACCGAAAAATCGAGAAATATGCAAATAAAATTAATAACGAAAATGCTGGGTCAGAGTGGGGATCCAACCCGGGTCATTCGGCCAGAAAACATGTGTTCTACCACACACCCGCGCATCTGCACGCTTGTGAATGTAGTGAAAGTAACTTTCTCTCCTGTGAAATGCAGTGAAAGTATCTTTCATGCTTCACAAAACACTCGCGTCCTGCTTCACAATACAACATGAAATATTGCGGTAACATTGCGTGGTACAAGCACAAATTACCATCTGAAGTCAGATTATGTGATTTCAGTGATTACGTCATAGTTTAAACCCAGTCACAGGCACGCAAGTTACTGCGCCTATTCCATTATAAGGCCACGTATAGTGGGTGCATGGCAAGTTCGAAAATGTTTCATGCACTAAGTGTTTGAAATATACGTACTATAGGGACGTTATATCACTATCACGTTAAACTATAAAGGCGAAGCTTAAGTATCCCTTAATTTTTTACAAGAATCTCGTGTTCCACGCGAGCTTTGAAGAGCGAATGAACAAGGGATTCGGTGAACAATAGAGTCGGAGATGTGTAACACAGAAACATTTTTTTTTCTTTTTTTTTTCATAGCGAACTTGCCAGCGAACTACATAAAAAAAAATACTGCACAAAATTCCTAGCACGTGTGTATAGCGGATATCACGCTTCTACGAAGAATGACAAACGATAGCATAGTGAATTCCAGCCTACTACACAAAAATTACGATTATTTATGGCGTAGTGGGTACCCAGCAAGTGTGCTTGTAGTAGTTACTGAAAGAGTGTTAAGAGAAAGCTCTGAAAGGTCGCTCTTCCAGCTTTTGCTGCGACAGTGCATGCGTTCCGCGCAGGCCTGTTGTTTTTTTTTTGTTTTTTTGTGTGGAGACATTTGGTGAAAAGTAAGAAAGAAAAATGCAAGCGCTTATTGGAATAATCACGTTATGTGGGATAACAATATTACTCGGAACGTAAGCACTCTTTTTAGGGGATGCAGCGTCGTTAACAACAAGAAAGAAAGGAAGAAAGAGAGAAAGAAAGAAAGAAAGAAAGGAAGAAAGAAAGAATGAAAAAAAGAAAGAAAGAAAGAAAGAAAGAAAGAAAGAAAGAAAGAAAGAAAGAAAGAAAGAAAGAAAGAAAGAAAGAAAGAAAGAAAGAAAGAAAGAGCGCCATTACCGCGAAGATGAGCTTGAGGCCGTATGAGTGTTCACGCGATCAAGCGCTGCTTCTCGGCAAATCTGGACCACGCACCTCTTCTATAAGCTCCAACGTGAACCGGCCGAGGGCTGCTTGGCCAAAGGTTCCTCACGTAAGTCACCTTTACAGAGTCCGATCACGTGCCCCTTTATAGCGGCGTCCTCGCCGCCTCGAACAAAACATTAAGAAGCTCGGAGCTTCCTCTATCACCGAGCTTATGCCGCCGTAAATCTTTGGCCCCCGCAAAAAGCTCGTGTGCTGCCAGCCGTTTTATGTGCTTTGTTGGGTCGGTTTACGCACTACCTGGCTAAGCGATGTCTTTGATCTCTTACTATGCGTATACCGTATATGACAACAGCAGTAAACATGCGCAACGCCTCGGAAAGTGTGCCTTCCGTGCGCAAGCGACATAAGCGCAGTGTTACGGTGCATAATAAATGAGGTGGTTTTCAAAGAAATGCCCCTGAATACGTGTAAACTTCTCAAACAGGCGTGAAGATTCGCTCGCGGCGTTCTTAGTGATAGCTTAATGTTATCTATTCAAGACAATCGTTACAGGAAAAGGTACACTGTTCAATCACTTGCATTAAGTAATGACACAGAAAATGGCACTGATAATGTAATAACGCGGTGGGTTTTCATGCCAGAGCCACGTCATGATCATGACGTGCGCCGCACAATGGGATCCGGACTCATTTCAACCCTTTGAGGATTTTTGACGGGCCCATAAATCAAAGCACACGGGTGTCCCCTTTGCATGTCGCCCCTTCGAAGTGCGGCCGCGAGTCAAACCCACGACCTCGAGCTTAGCAGCGGGACACTTTACGTGCTATGCTACAATGGCGGCTGAGAAAATCGTGCTGAATCCCGTCGCCTCACGACAACAACAACAACGACGACTAATACGACATAAACGTTGATTTTTTTTAAGTATACGAGTTCGGTTGAGTGCTGGCTTTAAATTGATAAAATTTTAGCCAAGTATTCTCGAATAAACACTCGGAAAGTTCAGTGAAAATGCAGCCAACACATATTATTGAAGGAAAAAAAAAACGTTTGCGACAAACACGTCTGCCACAAACGTAACAGACGTGTTCTATGCATTTTAATACTACATCTTAATACTTTAGTTATATATGCGAAACGCGAGAAGAGGTAGACTGCGCTAAAGCCGGGTATCCCATCATTATGATATTATAATGTTGAAAAGAATACATAAGTTAGAAAACAATAAAAAAATAAAAGATTAGCAAAAAAAAGTGGGGCAGCTTGGTGCTAGTTGTGCGATGGCTGATGTAGCGGCAAAGCTGCCTTGCACAGTAAGTGCAAAGTTGACGCAACAGCTGTGGGAGTTCTCGGACTCCTGAGGAAGAGGACGCCCTCCCAAGCCCGTGTCCCTTGCTTCGAAAAGTAGCATAGCGCAAACGCACGAACAGAAAAGAGACAACATGACTAGCGTTGCAAAGAGCACGTTAGCGCTATAGGCCACTTTTTCGAAGCAAATAACCATGCCCGAAAAACCCCTGTCCCCTCCTTGCTTCAATGACAAGGGTTTCTCATCATACCCTCCTCCTTCTTTTTCTTTCCCTTTTCCTCTTGAGCCCGTGAGGAGTAGCATGCTAGAAAGCCGCTTTCCAGGGTGACCTCTCCTCCTTCTTCTCATTAAATTTTTTTACTTCTTAGCGGGAACACGTCAGGTGACTAGTGTTACGTGACGTTGCCCTACTCTCTCTCTCTCTCTCGCTCTCTCTATTTGTCGCTTCCTCTTTCTATATATAAATATTATTTTTTGTCTGTAATTCTACCTTCTATCTATTTCCTTTCTTGCTTTTTATATTCGACTTTCTTTTTTGTTTGTCTCTCTCTATTCATATATCTCAGTCTTTCTTTCTACGTTCTCTTGGCTATCCGAGTTATTGCAA